TTTGAGTGTTAGTTTTGTGTAACCTATAGAGTGTTAAACCCAACGGAGGAACAGATCGCGGGTCTACTTAATCGCGCAGTGTGTGAACATTTTTCGCGGTCGGGACAATCGCGCAGTGTGTATGGACATTTTTCGCGGACGGGACAATGGCTCAGTGTGTGTGGACACTTTTCGCGGACTTCTGTGGTGTACGTGCGTGTGCGGATTAATTTCATGGATACTCGTGGACAGGACAATTGTGATACGTGACAACTAGAGGGGGCATTAACCCTCTCTACTCGATAATATTCGTAAGAAGATATTTACATTTCTTGCGAATTTTATCGAGTAATCAGAGTTAATGCGATTCGAATGGATTCGACTCAAATACCGCGGGCACAAGTTATCGACGTCTTCTACGGAGTCAGTAAACAGCTGTTCTACGGACTTTTCCTGCACGTCGTTGAGTCTTTAAAATTACTGTACGCTCCTGATGAGCCGTGATCCGCTGACAGTCTGTGCGCGCGGATTGCCATGATTTGGGTCAATTTTTAAACGCTTATAACTAACAAACGAAGCATTTTTCGCAATTTCGTTATTCTTGATTTTCGTCTTATTTTGCCTGAAAGAATCACCCCTTAATTTTTTTCCCACTAGTTGTCGAACACCCTGTATACATACATATTATGTTGTATACACATAAATTATTTTTATAATTAGATGTTATCCTTACAACCCTACTCATTACTACTCGGAACATTCGTACAAAAATCTATTAGATTAAAATATTACGTCATAAGTGTATCTTCAGTCTTTTAAAATTTGTTCGCTTTACTTGCCACCTCTAAGTTAAGTTTGAATGAAAAGTTAAAAAATATTAATTCGGGAAGCATTTTTAAAATTCATTTTTTTTGGTAATTATATATTTTGCTGCTAACAAAAAACCGCTGCAGCTTGTCCACGTATATACGATGCTGAATGGTCTTTTGCTTTTCTCCATATTAAAAGAAAAAAACACAATTGAAATAGTAATTTTAATAACATAAGATAAAATATTCAGAATGCTATGAACTTATCTTGTTTTTGTTGAATTATTCTGTAATTTCGCTTCCTCACTTTTGAGTTGAAGTTTCGCAGCTAACGAAAGTAACGAAGTACGAGCCTTTTGCTTATGTATACAGGGCATCCCAAAAATGTCCTCCGACCCGTAAATGGGGCACCCGGGGGTTGAATTGGAAAAACTTTTTCCTTAGCAACAATGTAATCCGAGGCTTTATTACCGAGATATTAACGAAAAACCGTGACCAATCAGAGCGTGAGTTTGCCAGCCGAGTTCCTGCGCTTGCGATGGCCACGCATTACGCTTGTACTACGAAGCTCACAACAAGTAGGTCAGCATGCATCGCAGGAAACTGCGTATAATAGCAAATAAAAAAGGCGTAACAAATAAAATCATACTTTTTATCATCTGTCGTTTGTTATTTAAAGAGATTAATGAATAAAACGTAAATGTAGGCAAATTATGTGTAACGTAAAAAGACGAATGCACATTTACTTTTTCGTAAATTCCTTTTTACGAATTTGTAAATTTCCTTTTCAAATAACATGTGAACAAAAAGGTAATGTAACAGAGAATGAACGAGAAGTGATCGTATTTCGGTATTGGTATAAAAATTCGTAGTTTAATAACGGGCAACAATGTTACTGATAATGAATAAGTTTCTTCAAAAAGCCCGAAGAAAAATTTAGGTACAGCAACTTACAGAATTATCGCCGGAAATAAGTCATAGCATGCGTTAAATTAAAAAAATAATAATCAGCAATAAATTGATTAGATTTCACCCTTTCGGAAATTCACCTGCAGTTTGCAAACCTGTGTCACTAGGTCACTGAACCGATCCTGGTCATCGACTGCCGAAACGGTTTATGGCAGGGTATCGCCCAGTTCGCAGGTGATCGCAGGTATACCTCACCAGCCGAAGTTAAGGGTTGTAACCTCAAGTGTGTCCGGGTTATTCCACCGAAGACGTACTCACTTCAGTGCACTACTACTAACACTAATCACCCGACACAATCACTTAATGTATTTTTAATCCAACGTGTTCCTACGTTAGGAAAATTCGTGGCCCCGGAAAGGGCCGATTGTTTTCAATTTATCAGATGTTTGACGTAACCAAACACTTGCACAGCAGCAGCCGCATATCCGTTATTCTGTACGTACCACCAGAACATAGCGTAATACTCCCGTGAACTGATCATCTCTGTCGCCCGATTGCTAACCGACTGACAGAATTTTTCCGAAAGGGCTTCCTCTACCCCAAAGTGGTTTCCCATCGTTACATTGTGAGTTCACTCCCACCGTGGCAACAAGATTTAGGTAAAAAGGAACCAACGGTTCTAGGATAACACGTGCTTTGCAGAATTTCAAGGAAAGAACTGTCGCGCAGTTTCACCAAGGCGCGTAGCCCGTTAATTTATTAAACTGACGTCGTGT